CGCAAATTTTATAAGTACCAAGCAAGAGGTTTAATTTTGATGCTAAATTTTCATTAGTTTAGAGAACACTTGTGTGAACATTAGCAAATTTACTAATTGTAGAATAAATTTTTCAAAACAAGAAAAAAAAATTACATAAACTGCAGTTACTTCAGTGACTTGCTAAGGTAGAATGTTTAGACCAGTGACGCTTCGTTTATATGAATGGTTATCTAATTAAGTAACAGTTATATTTAAGGATAAAAAAATATGTTTTAATATAGATTTTTAATTTTTTTTTTTTACAAACTGTGTGATGTTTGGTAGTCTTATAAATCCTACACACATTAACATAGCAAAATACATTTTTATTGGACTAGTTTCGATGGTTTTACCGAACCACCATCCTCAGCTGCAAAAGCGCAGATGGTGCATTTGATGAAGTTCAATCGCATCTCCTCAGTTAAATTATCTGCATCTGCTTGCTGCAGTTGTCTCTCACATATTGGTCTAATCCATTACCTTCTTCTTCTCTTTGCATGTAAAATAAGAAGTAAAATACGTTTTAATCTAGCAGAAACTGGATCCATTTTAATTAAAATATAAAATTACAGGAAGCCAAAATTCTACACAAAAATTCACGTTTTCTTCAGTTTCCGATGTCAAGCGCTGTCAAATGACAAGTTTAAAGCGAAAATGTCTACTCTGGTCAGCTTCCCCCCCCCAAGCTCGTGTAAGCTTTCCGTGTATGTGAAACTTACACGGGAAGCTTATTTTTTCTCTCGCGTTTCCGCTTTCCGCATTAACGGAACAAAGTGAACATAGTTTAGCTGGAAAGCACGTCCGCCTGGCAATCCGGAAAGTCGGGATTTCCTTTTCTGAAGATGATATTGCATATTTTTTCCCTACTCCAAACTGCTTAATCATCCAAACTTACAGATTTACTTGAACAATTTGATGCTGAACTCGGAATGGGTTAAGCTGCCATTCCTTGTACGAAGGCAGAAAATGTTGGAGGTAGAAGAACCGATGGTGGATGCAGAGTTGGATCTATAAAATTCATATATTATTGTAATGTTGCTTCCAGCTCACTTTAATCCTCTGCTGAAAATACAACTTTCATTTAGTTTCTAATTATGTTGATATTGTCTAAGATTTTTCAAAAACAAAAATATATTTCTCGTATTTAACATTTTACATTCATTTTGCGAAAATGTTTGAATTTATTTTCTGTCTATAATTTTTTCACCCGTAGTTGTTAATAAACAGTTAAAATAAAATTTTGCTGCAGAAAGTTGCAACAAATCGAATGGAGATGTTGTAAGGATTATATTAATTTATCTAACGGACAAATTTTAAGTTTAACTTCCTTTCCTATCGCTTCTTAATTTGAACTTATAACTTCCGACCAAAACGTAGTTTTAGAATCCCGTTTGAATGCAAATTTGAGGAAGAGCGGTATTTAACCGCGAAGTTCTGCTGTTTTAGTAACAGAGAACCAGAGATTTTGGCTAGCACGCGTTCGCTTTTTTAGGCTGCTCTCTCTTAAGCTATTATTACGCTCGGCCGTATTTTAGACCCTTGATAGCTTCGCAGTTAATCAGCTTTAAGGGGCCAACTCTGTTAGACTTTTGATAGCTTCGGCTATATCTCTTTAGTTAAGATTAGTTTAGTTTAGTTCTTAGTCTCTTACTTTTCAAGGCCGAGTGTCGGCTTTATTGTACAAATCCAAGACGGAGTTCTGTTACACCTTATTGGAATAATAAAGGGTTATTTCACCCTTCTTACTTGTTATTTCCTGTACCACGAACTCAAGCGATTATTCGCTTATCAGTTCTTAAGATTCTGCGCATTCAACTGTAAATTTATAGTACAGAAGCTTATCAATTTTTCAAAAATGCATGAAATTAAAAATAGCTTAAAATGTAAATTTCCAGTTAATACTTCTTAATTTCCTGCATTACTCGAATGATGTTTAGTAAAGGCAACGATTTCTTCATAAAACATACATTTTATATAATAACTTCAATGTTAAAATCACGTTATATTATCTAAGCTGATGTAGTTTTCGATATTGTGCAGTTTCACACCTCGAGCTTAGAACTGTTTGTTTGCATGTCTGAATACAGCAAAACATACGATGGGTATTTGCTTAAAGAGAGAATGAACCCTAAAAGGAAAGAATGAAGCCTAAAAGACCGTTATTATAATAAGACAAATTATTAAAACGGGATTATAATCGAACTTCAGAAAGATGCCAATGGTGACTGATTACATAATTTCCTTTGACTGAACAATGGAACAATTTTTAAATATTAAATATACTGATAGTTTTTATTCGATGTCTCATATAACTATACTCGAGGCAAACCTCGATAAATGAATAAGGAAACAAGCGTTTATACCCGAATACTGCAACATAATGTTTCACCAATTCGCTTCTTGCCAAAACGTTCACGAAAACGGTCATTTCGCGTTCATGAAACTTCAAGTGCTTGAACGTAGTTGCCAGGGGGAGTTAGCGTACTTTGTGTACGCAAGAAATATATGAAGTGACATCATTTGATACAGCATATATGTAAATAGAAAGAAAGTATGTTTCGATCATTCCGCACGAGATCTCATTTTGTGCAAAGGTCTTTGAAGCAGAGAATCTTGGACTTCTTTGGTCATAAACACAAGATTCAAGAAAACGGTTTCTCTTTACCCACAAAAGAAATCTGTATAAAAATTTTTCTGCTTCTGAAGAAGAGGAAGCTGTGTCTGATTGCCCTCGCAATCGATAGAGTTTTGTTCAAAACCTTTCCAAATTAAGGTTGCTTATTTTGTTTATTGGCCTAATTTAAAAATTTTCATGTTTTTCTTCCCAATGAACGTTAAATGAATGTGCACTCTAATATCTAGAAGAGTCATGACTTCAACTTTTAATTATAAGCATTGTAGAGACATTAGGAGTTTTTTGGAAGCAGGCAAGATGAAAAATTAGCAACGCCTTCGCCAGGAATCGAACCGTGGACCTCTCAATTACGCGCTGAGCGTGCAGACCACTACACCCCGAATGCTCACTAAGAAGGTGACAGAAATATCTTATAAATTAAACAATTTTAAAATAATGTAGGCAGCATAGTTAGAAAATTAACACCGGAATTTACTATCAATTCCATTTTGTTCCTTTTTTTAGTTTTGGAAAAAAAAATGGTAGTAGAGCGTATTTTCCCTAACGTAATTAAAAACCCCAGTTTGAGGAATTTCAATAAACATCTTGAAATGTATACATGGATATCATGAAAAATATGTGCATTTAGTTGTTGCTTAGGCTCTTTTATCACGCTTAATATACTCAACATACTGAACGTAACATCATCCAAGCGTCGCTACTGTTCTTTGAAAGCTCGAAGCCATTTTTTGAAAGTTTCTTCAGAATCACAGAACCGTAAATGCTTTAGCTGTGATTCTGAAGAAATAGTACAACCTCGGTTATCTAAACAAATTAAAATCAGTATGGTTTGGATAGGGAAAAATTAGAATAATTGCAGATTCAAAAAATTCTTATAAATGCTCAGGGGTGACAATAATCTCTTTGTTTGTATTATCTAAAACTTGGTAATTAAATTAAGCATTTAATCAAATTATTTTAATATTAATATCAAAAACAACTAATATACCAATTTTAACAACTGTGAGGTTTGAAATAGGAGATTACATAACTTCAGTAGTTACTTAGTTTCTCTACCAATTTTTTGTTTTGGAAGCTGCCAGTAATCAGAACTAATGAATCATTCGGATCGCTTTAGTCTTCTTTATCATGCCAATCCATCGTAAGTGCATTGCAAGCTTTGGAATGATATCAAAATAAATTTGATCCAGTTAACTGTGCTGGAACTGTGTTACTGAATAAGCCACATGTAAAGCGCATTCTCTATATCAACAATCCTCGCCGCTTTCATAAATGTTTAATCTGTAGCTTAATATACACAAATGATGAGACCTGTGAAGGATTGCAGCTCATCTGTTTGAATTTTTGATACACGAAATCGTGGACAAACCCATATCATATTGATCTCCCAGTGACTTGCCACACGCATCCTAACTATGAGCATTCGTTCTATTTGTTTTGTTCTGAATAAATAAATAATAAAACGGATGGAAGTTTCGAAAAATAAATGACTATCGAAGTTTCTTAAATACACCTCGTATGCATAAGTTCGGTACAAATACTGCAAAGGTTTCAGTAAAACTGCAACATAAGTAATGTATGCTAGTGAATAAATTGTTCGATCATATTAACCTCTCGAAACGTTACATCGCTTACAAATATCTGAGTCTTTCCAAAGAAAGCTAAGTTTAAAAGTGAAAAACTAGCATAAGTTACAATGAAAACTAAAACTTAAATATCCACACCTGAGATGAGACAGTTTTTTTATATTTCTCATGGTTCATTCTCCAACTGCCGCAGTTACTACAAAACATTCATTCTTCAAACGGCCAACATCGAAGATTGCCTTTCCATGTACAGTAGAGGTAGTTCTCATCCTACATATGTTTTCTGTCTTAAACATTGTTAATATTTCTGATATTTAGAGAGAGACATCTATTCAAGTGTTTCTCATATCATTGGTTGGGCAAGAAATTATTTTTGGTTTTTGTACGATAATTATGATATATTCGAAACATAATAAAATATGCATCTTTGTCTTTAAGCTCATTCTAAAACATCGAAAATAACCAAGAAAAATCACTCTAGCGAAAACAGCAGAAATGTAAAATTACGGTTTCGTCCTGGTGCCGTCCTTATACATCTCTAAAGTTAAAATGTACAGTGTTGTTTTGAAAGATGGGTTCAGTTTTATCCAGCAGTTTGATGCACATTACAATACACGTTTGATGAATGCGATCGTTACTGAACCAAAATTCTTTAACAGGTTATTTGCTAACATAAATATTTTTAGCTGCGAAGGCTAACAAATATGTGCAAAATAAATAAAAAATGTCGTATTTTTGAACAGGAATTCTACATCATATTATTCAAAATATTTTTATTTTTTCCACATTTTTTTGTACATTTCGTATTTAACAGGTTACTTTTAATGCACATTCAAATATCAACTTGTGTAATAACGATTGAATTATTTTAATGCTTCTAAGTGCTCGAAATCACATATTAAAGTAGGAATCACAAGACTCCAGTAAGACATCTGCGTAGGGATTAAGAGAAATAATAGCAAAAAAAATGAAAGATGAAAATGAAAAGGTTTTTCTTGCGTTTTATGTATTAAAATCGTTATTTTGTACCTGAAACATCAAACTACATTTCTAGTCATCACTATTAAAATTTGTAAAGGCATAAAAACACCAGATTCTAAAAATTAAATGAAAAATTACTTAAAACAGGATTCAAATTTTTCTGCGTCATAATATGTATGCATTCCAGTTTCTTCTCCAAATGGGAATTTCAAATTTGAATGGAAGACAGGAGGGCTAAGCATACATGACCAGCATTAAGAAGATATTTAGTGATTTTCAGTGAACCGAGTAGATACATCTGAATTTTTTATTTTACCAGAATGCAATTAATATTTTACAATAGCCGCAAACGTATTTCCAAAATACGAAAAAAAATTAGGTGTTTTCAGCAACGAAAATTACAACCAAAATCTTAATGAAAAAAAAATTTAGGGATATTAAAAAAAAAAAAATCCTTCTTCTGAAATTTCTGTTACAATAGCTAACAACTTTGCGCAGCGCTTAAAATTCTTCATTTTAAGAAAAATAATTGAATATCTAATGCAATATCTGCTCACAAATCCTTTTCAGCAAAATAAAGTTTCATGAAAACATGCGAATGATAATTGTGTTAAAAACCCCATCGGAACAGATCACATGGGAGAATGTGCAAACCTTGCAGGTCGAATTACCAACTATTTTTCTTCTTGTCTCCCTCCTTGTTAACGTAATATATCAGAATAAAAAACTGTGCAAGACTGCCTGATACATTTCTTAAAATTAAAATAAAAGGTATATACAGATAATTTCCTTACTTTTCTTTAAAGTAAAATATAAATTATATTTAAATTAAAATACGCTAAAAACATTTCTTTGAAGTTTTTCAATTACTTATCCTTGCTTTTTTGTGCATCTTTCCAGAAAACATATTAAAATTTTCGAAAGGAAGCTTCATGGAGGTTATTAAACATTTGAACTTGAGTTTTTCTCGAAAATGCTTTTCATCCGCATTTCTTAAATATTTTATTTAATTGATATTTATTTTTCTCTGCTGTTCTTTTAAAAACAGCGTGTCTTTAACTGTTTGTGCCATGTTAATGTTATAAATAAAACAATATCTTTACAAACGAGTTTGAGCAAATGTTCTCACAACAATTCCTGAGTGAAGAATATGGAGAAAATTAACCAGAATTTTTTTTATTTTCTCCACTGCCGTACTCTATATTTGTAACGGGATCGATAAGTTTTTGGTTTGGGATACATAAATCTCTGTTTACGAAGCAATTTTTCAGTGAAAACCGGTTCCTGAGTTGTCAAATCATCACATGTTTCATTCTGGTTTTTTTTCACGTACGCCATGACCATACGGTTTGTGTAATATCGTTTGGAGTTGATGACTCTGGACTGGAAATCCTGTTTCTGCACACAAATGTTATACCACATGCTGGTTCTGTTCTTGAGCTCTTCAACTGCGACTGACATCTTTTCTGAACCGTATTCTTGTATTCTCTGTTCCAGCCTGCGCACAAAATACTTATATAAGATCATATCTGCGCTGTTGAACTTCAGTAGACGTTGCAAAAGCTCTGGATTCATTTTCCGTTTGTACCTGCAACACAAATTCAGAATAAAATCTCTCTCAATATGAAACTTAAATCAAAATGAATGTGTCGTTAAAAGGTAAGAATAAATAAATACAGGTCATATAATTAAGACACAATAACACGCCGAATAAATACTGATTCAGAAGTCAAACAACAAAAAATCAGCGTTATATTTACAAAATTTTCACAGGACTAGTTTCAATGGTTTTACCGAACCATCATCTTCAGCTGCAAAACCGCAAATGAAAAAAATTTTTTTAAAGAAGATGATGGTTCGGTAAAACCATTGAAACTAGTCCTGTGAAAATTTTGTAAATATAACGCTGATTTTTGTTGTTTGACTTCTGAATTAGTACAGGTCATATATTCATGTGCTACTTACTGCACGTTATGTTTAAAGAAAGTTACACATTCTTTGACAGTCAGTTATCAGATTAGATGCCATCTCTTCGTTAGTTAAAAATTTGATAACTTTGCAATGCATGCTGTTACTATGATGGGCAGGCTCACCCGATCAGCAAACATTGTGTGTAAAACCAAGTAATGAGTGTCGGATGCCCAGAAGTTGCACTATTGGAAAAAGTGTTGAAATACCCCATAGCTTTTAAATCCAGTTGTACTATTTTGTGAAGAGGTCATATTAAATTAAAGGCTTTGGAATTATTACAACCTTATAAAAACAGCTAAGAGATTTCACCTGCTTCTGTTGGCGACAGTTTTTGCCGATGGGTTTGTTGTCAAATTACTAAGCAATTTCTTCAGACAAGAACTCATTTCAGCTTGTTTGATAGGTGAGAGGAATATTATCATTGGTTGCTCTTCTCACTGTGGAAATATTCATTGGCTGAGATGCTTAACTGTTGGTTTAATTAGCTTAAAAGCAACAGGAATTTGTGAACTTCGTCACCTTTTGCTGCTTTTATTCTTCCAGCTGCCTTAGGCTTTTACCACTTTTTCGCGGTTGGCTTTCCTTCGCGTTCTATTGCGGGTATATGAGTGAGTGCTATTGCAGCATTATTACTGAAAGCAAGCACTTTTACGTGCAGATGTTGTGGTGATGGCTGCACTTATTCACACCCTCATTTAATGCGTGTTACAGTCTGTTATTTTCTTCTGGAGTTTGTTCCTTGGTTTGGCTTTTCACCCGCGCTCTCTGTATTGGAAGATGCTGTTGGCTGCTATTACGAAGGCTGAAGAAGCTGCATGCAGAGCATAAGAATACCGTTTTTCAGTGCCAGGAATATGAAGAATGATTCTGCAGTGGCAGAAATCGAATAATCACTGTGGTGCACAATCTAGCATGGCGCTACGATAAACTGTCTTTGTAAATGTAACAAGTCTTGTCATTTTTTTTTTGATTGGACAGATCACTATGACACGGCAAAGACTAGGAGCCTACTTTAGGTAAACGAAACCACTATACTTGTTTTTTTAACATCTTCACACCTAACACGCCACCCCAATTTAGTATTCCACCTTAACATAAGCTTAAAATTTATTGAACGTTTTTAATATGTTCCCTTCTGACTGAGGCATTTTTTAAAAATGCAATTGTACATTACTATTTAAAATTTTTAAAGTTTAATTTGTAAAAAGTAATGAACCTTTTGATAGGTTCTAGCTGTTTTGCAGAAACAAATACCTTTTATTCCTGGCATTCAAATGAAATACTATAACATCATCTATGCTCCAGCATAGGAGTTCCCGTAAAAGTACCAGGGATTCTTCCATCCTTTCTCTTACCATAACGAGGTCGAAAACAGAATCCAGATATTCCACGTATTCATGCACGGCAGTTGAGTTGGAAAACGCCTTACTGTCCATACCCAAGTCGAACAGCATTTGATTGAAACCAATTTTGCCACCCATTCTTTTCTCGTAAGCTTCGGGAGGCTTTTGGTGTTTTCCTGAAAAGACACACAATTCAATATAAATTTGCTAAGTAGTTAGGGCAAATATTAATACGAGAAGCATTAATTTTCCTTTGTTTTTCAGTTTATTTTCAAAACCTCTTACTAATTTTCGCAAGAAGTGATTTGGACTCTACTATTAGTCTTTAAGTATCTAAAAATGTATTATGTTAATTACAGAAACTAAAAAAAATGATTCTTTTTTCATCTAAATAAAACATTTTTCCTTTCTAAGCAAGCAAACGTGTTCATTTTTAAGCCTCAGAACTTTTTATGCTTGTAAGCATTAACAGATGCTTCATATTGAAGGATATCGTTACAGAAGATTATCTGAGAAAAGTGGTTACATCCCAAACAAATCTGCTGCACTTGCAATTTTTATTCATCTATTAGACCTCCATTTGGAATTAATTTCTGTACCACTGAAAAACCTTGAACTCCCTATCTTTTTAAAGATAAATTATGAGCACAACAGATAACTCTTCAATTATGAAAAATTACTTAGATGTCATTCGATATCAGCGATCTGTATTTAGGCTTTAAGGTTTGTTGTTTATCAATGAGCATCTGAGTTACATTTTGTACAAATGTATTTGTAAACTAAAGTGCGATGAGCCTTTAAACAAACAAAAAAAGGATAACAAAATATACGGTAGAACAGTACTATATAACTGAACTAGTTAAAACTGAAGATTATTCTGATAATCGAAAAATTCGAATATTCGAGATTTTCAAAAACGAAGAAAAAAAGTTTTTTATCTGTTTGCAACGATGGATTCTTCATACTGCGTTCTTGAATAAGAAAATGTAAAGCGTATTCTTTACATGAATATTCCTGGATGATTTCTTAGATTTTTGTCCTTTTTTACATCCTATTTAGAAACCATAGGATTACTATGGTAGTCTTGGTTTAAACCATTAAATTCTAGACTAAAGAAATCTTGAATCGACCTAAAGTATACTACAAAGAGTTCGGCAATGAATTTTCACTCACATATTTCTTAATAGTTTCTCATCTTGAAGGCACAAAGCATATCGTTTGCACTTAGGGATTGCGATTAAAAATTTCAAGAAATAAGTAACGGATTTAATAAAATCTCTTCAAGATGCACAAGTCAGATATAAATTGTGCAAAACATTTACTACGCTATACATGGTAGAAAAGTACACATATGAGTAAGTATGGAGGGGACAGAAAGTCCTGGCAGTTTTTTAGATGAAATACTACAGTAAATAGAAAGAACTCATTTTAATCTATCTTACAGTATTATAGCTTTACAATTTATTACATGCCAATATTTAAAACGAAATTACTCTAATATTATGGCAGCTTTTAAGTGTCATCTTCGATCAACGCACGCCTGAAATCGATTACAGCAACTTGCATAATGTTTCTCAATATTTCTTTAATTGAATAGTGGCTGCCTCACATTGATTGCTGTTAGTTCAGGTACGAAACCTGGTTTATGTACACTGAGGAAAAAAATGGAACAGTTCTATATCTCCCGTTCTATTGGACCAATTGACGCAATTTAATTTGCGTTTTTTATGGTTTGAAACGCGGCTTAGGATATATGTTAGATTAATATAAAGCCTTATTTTAACATAGGTATTTTGACACGAAATCAGACGTTTTCTGAAAAAACACACCTATGTGTTTCATGTTTCGCTTCCATGAATCAAATTAAGCATAAATATTAAATTTTGTACTATTTGGCGAGAAACTTACTGAGAATTAAAAACATTATCTTGGAGCACTTTTTCCAGTTTTCTCCAAAAATGGCAAAATTCTTAATTTATAGTAACCTGCTTTCCTTTTCCTTTCATTGTGCACGAGTAGAAAAAAGAATTCTCCATTTGGTCTTACTATCGCTTATAACGAATATACCAAAATTCAAATCCTGCTGATATATAGATTCACGTATATCTTTGGAAATTTCGAATAAAAACTAATTTTTTTAGGTATGCCTAGAATACATTTTTTAAGATGATGGTAAAAATTTTATAATTCGAAATTTTTTTCGAAAAATGTATAAAAAGTAAAGTATACAAATTTTAAAAATAAATCAGAAACTCTCTGAGAATTTTATTTGGATTGAACCTAAATTTCGAATTGTGAAAGAAGAAATCAAGTAGGTTTAAGAAAGTAAAGATCTTAATAAATATACACTGAAGTGACAAAAGTCACGAGATACCTCCTAATATTTTATCGGTCCTCCTTTTGCCCGGCGAAGTGCAGCAACTCGACGTGGCATGGACTCAACAAGTCGTTGGAAGTCCCCTGCAGGAATATTGAGCCATGCTGCCTCTATAGACGTCTATAATTGAAACTGTTGACGGTGCAGGGTTTTGGGCACGAACTGACCTCTCGATGATGTCCCACAAATGTTCGATGGGATTCATGTCGGGCGATCTAGGTGGCCAGATCATTCGCTGGAATTGTCCAGAATGTTCTTCTAACCAATCGCGAACAATTGTGGCCCGGTGACATGTCGCATTGTCATCCATAAAAATCCCATCGTTGTTTGAGTACGTGAAGTCCATGAATGGCTGTAAGTGATCTCCAAGTAGCTGAAGATATTTATTTCCAGTCAATAATCGGTTCACTTGCACTAGAGGACCGAGTCCATGCCATGTAAAACAGCCCAGACCATTATGGAACCACCACCAGCTTGAACAATGCCTTGTTGACAACTTGGGTCGATGGCTTCGTGGGGTCTGCGCCACACTCGAACCCTACCATCAGCTCTTATCAACTGAAATCGTGACTCATCTGACCAAGCCACGGTTTTCCATTCGTTTAGAGACCAACCGATAAGCTCACGAGCCCACGAGAGCCGCTGCAGGCGATGTCGTGCTGTCAGTAAAGGCACTGGAGTCGGTCTTCTGCTGACATAGCCCAATTAAGACAAATTTCGCTGCACTGTCCTATCGGAGACGTCCCTCGTACGTCCCACATTGATTTCTGCGGTTATTTGACGCAGTGTTGCTTGTCTGTGGTACATTGACAACTCTATGCAGACGTTGCTGGTCTCGGTCGTTAAGTGCAGGTTTTCGGCCACTGCGCTGTCCATGGTGGGATGTTATGCCTGAAATTAGATACTCTCGGCACACTCTTGACACTGTGGATCTCGGAATGTTGAATTCCCTAACGATATCCGGAATGGAATGACCCATGCGTCTAGCTTCAACTAACATTCCGCTTTCAAAGTCTGTTAATTCTCGTCGTGCGGCCATAATCACGTCAAAGCGTCTTCACATGAATAACTTGAACACAAATGAAAGCCCTGCCAAAACACTTCCCATTTATACATTTTCTACGCGATACTACTTCCATCTGTATATTTGCATATTGCTATACCATGACTTTTGTCACTTCAGTGTATGTATAATTCAATTAAGACTGAGGAGCTAAAATTTTGAGAGCTAATTTTTTAAAACCTATTTTAAAACTACTTTTACAAAACTTAAGATTTTGTCATAGTCCGATTTTGTGTCAAAATACCTATGTTAGAACAATGTTATAAGTCTAAATTTTGTCAATTGGCCCTGTAGAATGGGAAGTATTGAACAGTCCCATTTATTTTTTGTGCAGAATGTGCTGTGTCTGAAATTACATATTTTAATTCTCCCGCGAATTTTTGAGATTTTGGAAAAGGTGTACGAATGAAGGAAAATAAATTGACTTGCTTGAATTAATTGTTTATTTATATTTTTCTAATCCTCTAATTTTTATCTTAATTTTCAGCTCACATTTTTAATACGTAAAATGTGGTGGATATCTGTTATCCTTCACATTTGTTTAAATTGTTCACTTACCAAGAGTATCAAACCTTTCTTTGTAGAATCGATGTAAACTATAGAATGAAAACAGAGATTCGTACAGTTCGACAGGCTGTCTGACTATTGTTACAAAAACAACATCGTTTGGAAAATTTCGTTTCATTTCATCGTAACTGAAGCGGCAATGGTGCGTCAAGATATTGTACCGAAGACCGAATTTCCTTGCATTCGGTACCATCGACCAGTTGAAAGGCTCCGGGTGGCCAATGTAACTTCCTTTTGCAGGCAACACAAAGGTGAGACCATTACGATAACCATATCTAGTGAAGATATTCTGTATGCTGGAACTGGCACACTTGTGTGTTTTGAGGAAGACGATGTTTTCTCGGGGTCTGCAAGAGTTTGTAAAGGTTTCAGAAGTCACTATTTCATCTTCCTCTTCAGCATTAAATACTCCGCTTAAGGAACTGAAAAAAAAAGGGTAATTAAATACAATGATTTTTTTCTGTCGCCGATATCGTGATACATAATATTAATTTATATTAAATACATGAACAACATTACCAGAGTAAGTTTTATAAAAATCATAAGATCCGTTATAAATGTGATTAGAAGATGAATTATTTAAAAAAATGTTTAGGAAATAAGTTACTAAAATACGATATGGAAAATTAAATTTTTTTTTCAATTGCATAATTTAAGAGATTTTAAGCAATGAATTTTTATAATTTTAAAGAAAAAATTTTTTTTCAAAAACTTTTAATTCATTAGATTTTAGATTGGACAACTTGTCAGGAATATGTTACTTATATTCTGCCATACTCTCATAGCTGTGTGAACTGTGATCAATCAAGTAGCTAAGGTGATCAGTATTGCGGTATCATTACGTAACTAAAATGATTGAGTCAATAGAAAAGTAATAACCAATAAAATAATTCGTTGCAAAGGTACTTCATATTTTTTCCTCTAGAAAGTGTAATTGGAATATTATAAAGCCACTTATATTTTTAATTAGCTGAAGCACCCGACATTGCCCGAGTTTTATGCAGAGTGAAAGGCTTCATTTAAGGCGATGGAGGTGGCTTTTTTCGAATTCGCAGGAAAACAGTTAATTTTCTCTTATTTTGTTTGAAGGTGGATTGTTCAGAATTTTACCAATCTGGAATAAAACTGCAGATATTATTTAGAGCAGAAAATAAAAAATATTTTTCTCATATCTTTTATTACAATGCAAATTTTATAAACGAATTTCATAATAATGGTATTATTTTGAACTCTTTTCACGCAGATTCAGTTAAAAAGTAATAAAGGGGGAAAATGGATCCTTGCTGTATGATGTCTTTCTTTTACAATTGAGAATTATGTCTTGCGAAGCTAGAGATGTTGTTGCTATTTCCCTCACAAACAACTGAGATATGAAATCTTAGATGCATCTGATGAACTGATTATTCAGTTTTCAAGTTAACTGATCGCATATCAGATGTTTTCCTTTTTTTCAATCAGGTTGATTTGTTCTTTTCCTAAATACAGCAGAACACTAAAGAGATATCTGGCTGGAAAAGTAACCCTTTGTAAGCCTTTGCCTGGATGTTGCCTCAGAAGAAAACTTTCTAATACGATAACTCACTGAAACCTCTTAGAAGAAGACGTAAGGAATATATATTGATGTCCAAAATTAAGAAAAAAATTAAGTACGAAACGGCAGATATCTCAAAATAACTGGTTATTGGAATGAAAGTTTCATATAGATGCCCAATATTATAAGACAGTCAACATTAAGATAGCAAAATAAATGAGAGGTAAAGTATTTTATCTTATGCAAATGAGAAAGAAAATATAACTGTAAGTAAATTTATAGTGTTACGCATTTGGTATTTAAATAGCTAATGTTAGTTGAATTGTAAATTAAATCATTTTATTTCCCGCGCAGTGCAGCGCGTGACGAATATTAAAAGAAAGCTAAGCCGGAAATTTGAAAATACAAGAGCGCGTGCATGTAACATTTAATAAATATCTCTTTTTGATTTCGAGAAAGTACTAGAAAATTCTCGTGCGCGATTTTAAAATCTTATAAAAAGAGGAAAACCTCTCAGTTCGTAGTAGTTACTTAGTTTGTTATTGTTTAGAAAACTGCTCTTGTTGACTGTAGCGAATTCGCGGATTAGCTTTCTCTAGCTGTTTTGAACCTAAGTTCTCTTGAACGTTTGAGTAGTTAAAAGATAACTACTGTGAGATATTGTAATACTGCACGAATATTTTAGGAAATTTAAGCATTTTTGTTGTGATAATAATAAATTTTGTTGATTTTACATCGGTCTTGTGCATTCATTTCGTAACGAACCCGTACGACGCAACAATAGCAACAAATTCCATTCCTCTAAAAGCAAGGCGTTTATGGAAGGATGCTATGAGGTCTTATTGTCTGGCATCATCGTTCATAAAAGTATAGTTCTGTGCAACAACGGTATAGAAAAGTCTCACAAAATGTTCAGAAACTTCATCTCTGTAATATTATGCGGTCTGCCACAAATGTATGCAATGGCGTTAGAGCATTCAACAAGATGTCTTCCCACACAAGATTTCACAGCCACCAAAACTGTTGATTTACTTTATGTGTAGGTAAATAAACCTTATATTAGGGAATTCAATGTAAGGGAAAGTAAAGGTTTTCTTTCCAAATGTAGCATGTTGCAGACTTTCACCACATGAATGCTCACCGAAAATCACTCTGCATATTCAATCATCACTGAAGAAGACATGATTTCAATTTTGCTTATACGAGAATAACGTGCCTGGATGCGCGAAAGGTAAGCTCTATTTCGTGATCTGTTGAGACGGGTGCATATCGCTGGTGTCGGGTGTAAAAATGTCTGCCTCTTAGGCGTCTGTATACAGTTTGTTCCAGACGCAGCAGCGAGGACTCGAATGAGATTTCTGAGTAACATCGCGTATTTAATGCCACGTGTCAGTCCTCCATAAGTGTGGTAACTCAATTCCGGCCTTGACAAATTTGTCCGGTGACAGAACGTATAATTTGAAACCGTTTGCCATTTGTGATACTCCTGTCTATCAAGACGCATCCACTTGACAGCGACCAGCCTGAAGCCTACCAATAATTTTACATCTCACTCTATCGTCCAAACGATTTCAAAAATTCATTTTAATCGAAATTTGTTAGTACTGGAATTCTTTTCATACGAATGGCAGTTCTATAGACAAACTGATTCGCCAAACGATAGCTTTCATATTTTTTTGTAAAAATTGTATCCATGAAAGGAACGAAGTCTTTTTGCCATTACATCCATCAATCTACAAATCATGTGACATTAGTTTCTAAATTATTAGTGATAGTTTCGATTTATTACAAAAAAGTAACTAAAATCTTAAACATCAATGTAGTTTAGTCATAGTCGGATTCACCTAACTGTACATTTATTATTTTTTTGGCCTTTTACAAATGTGTTTATTATTAAATGAACTTTAATGCATGCCTTTTAAGAAAGGGTCTTGTTTAGTTATAGTTGGATTCGGCTAAAAGGTGTATTTATTAATTTTCGCCTTATATAAAATGTGTTTATTATTATTATTATTATTAATTGTATTTCAGCGCATATTCTTTAAAAACTGCTCAGAGATTACAATTGATATTATTGAAGAATAAGCCGCAAAAGATTTTTTTCAATGTTTAAAACCATTTTTACGTGGACATAAACTACTATGAAAAGAATGTATAAAAATTTGGCAATACATACTTTACTCCCGGTTGTTCATACTGAACGAAATAAACTACAAAAGCCATGCACACAACAAATGAAATGAAGTTGAAACTCCTTTGATTTGAAGATGTTTTCCATAATGCGTCATTCGCTTGCTGGAAAAAAAATAATAAAGGATAAATGCATAAAAAATCGTTTTTCTATGAATAAGCATTAATGGTACTTTTTGATTTTGAACAATTAAAAAAAGATCAAATACCAATCCTTAACTAAGCCTAACTTCACTCTGTATTTTCTACGTACACACTTGTAGTTAAAGTGAACGTAAATAAGCTATTGACTTTAGGCAATAGTATTTCTCTATTTGTAAAACAGGCAAAACTCACAGACTCTTACCATAATTTTATACAAATCTTATTGGTTTTCTCGAAACATTTTTACGGCTAGTTAGTAGTATTTTTAGTGCAGGTAGAAACAGATTTGGAATTTTTAATTTATTTGCTACGAAACATGAAATCAGTCAGACTAAGTCCAAAATTTAAATTCATAATCTTAATGATAACTTTCATGCTTTCGCAATAAGAAAGAAACTGTAATGTGTGAAATGAAACGGCAATAAATAATTAAGTAAAATTTTAAATGCTTCCAATGGAAATAGTTTTACTTTTTGCATAGTTCTATAGCATAATATACAGTCTTTCTTCTTTACTTTCTGTTTTTTTAAGATCAAAAAGGCTATTAGTCCTGAAACATAATTTTGCGTTATTTTAATTTAATGCGTCATTTCATTTTTTATTCGAGTCTGTTGCCATTCGGAAATAAGTAAAATAGTTTCTTTCATATTTTATTAACGAGTTAAACTACCCAAAAGCAATAGATGCGTATCTTAAAAATATGATAATTTACTTTGTAATCTGTTCTATTTAAATAAAAATGCATTTAATTCGTGATTTTTTATTTATTATTATTCCGCCTGCTTCACCTCTCAATGGGCACTACAGGTCAGTCATGTTATCCTGATCCGTTTCACCAGCAACTTTTTTTGGTTGTTCATCTTTTCAACCTTATTACTGAAAAACAGATTTAACACTAGTGTATTACGTCTGTTGCGTACTCCAACTTACAATGTTTTGAGAATGTTAGTATAAAATTAGCAAAAAGGGTTAGTTAGTTTACAGATATTTACATATATACATGAGTAAAGGCTTGCTGCCTTTACATTTCGTCAGGTGCTGACCTGGTTATCTGCTATGATTATGTTTCTCATAGAATAGACATGCTCTATGATGGTTATGATTCCCCGCTCTCCGTAGTAATCCTGAAGAAGGTTTTTGAGGCTATGGTATCCCTGAAGCTGAGAAAGGAAGGTTCTGATGGGAGAAGAGTGGACAGTTGTGGATGTAATCTGAGACGTCTGCTGAAGAAGCTGAAGCACCGAGGCGTATTTGACGTTTTGATGGCAGAACCTACTGAGGTACGCGGGAAATCTTCCATGTTTTGTGAAAGCTTGTTGTAGATAGAAGTCTGCTTTGAGCCTCTTGGTGGAGACCACGGAAAAGATGAATAGGTGGAAATTTCTTTGATTTGCCGACCGGTCTCTGAGTCGTCCCAGCGAGCTTGCCAGATGAACATAAAGGCGCAGAAGATCTTGTGTTTGGCAGCGACTATGAAGAGTAGGATCTCTGCGTCCATGGAAGGATGATTTTTGGCTTTTTTAGTTAAAGAGTCGGTTCTTTTGTTACCTTGGTTACCTTGATGACTACGTACCCAGCATAGAAACACTTGTATAGAAGAATACAGTGTAATAAGCACTTCTTTTAATGAGGAGATGTGGAAGGCGTGCATTCCGTTCTTGTTGAGTGCCAGTAGGACGCTCATGCTGTCCGTGTAGAAGCTGATGGATGGAAAATTGGTGTTGCCTGCCCAAAGCGTTGCCTTCCTTAAAGCGAAGGACTCAGCATGGAAAACGCTAACCGTGCTGAGTTAATTTCTGTATTGCTGTGGAAAAGCGACCTAGGCTGCACCTACTTGCTCTGAAACTTTAGAGCCATCAGAAAAGATTTTTTAAGTCCTGTCCTTTTGGTAGATGTTTAAGCCATTTTAGATCTTTCGTGGGTGCTGGGTGGACAGGAGTATAGTGGCATTGTGGTTCTAAGGAGCGCTGGTCTATGAATGAGGAGTCATCAAGCTGAAAGGAGTGCTTAAAATGAATTAACCTGTATCTAATTAAAAATATTAAATATTTTCTATTTAATTACATTGCGTATTTTTTCTATTTTTAAATGTACAGAAGATGTATAATGTTCCAATGTTAGTGTAAATGCATTTTCTAAGTCTAACTGCGTCTAATATCGTATAAAATGTTTCGCTACTCCACCTAAGCCTATCAATATTCCCTACTGACAAACCATATTAAACTTGAATTGGGCGATATTTAAAATTTAAATCATTCCACATCTTTTTTTTTAATAATTTGCGCTTTCTTTTCTAAATTATTTTATTTTTTTTCCGACACATTAACGATGATCCACTGCACTCCCATTAATGCCTTCCTAATGAAATTCAGGTAACTTACAGATTTCGTTCCAGTGGAACATTTTTCCAGTCAAAAATGTTCCAGTGGAACATTTTTGACTGTGATGCAAAAAGTAACCATATTGTTTTTGTCGAAGAATAGCTTGCAATTCCGAAGCGTCTATAATAAAGGCAATTTTTAGATGATTATTGTGCATAATATGCCGTATGCGATATACCTTACAATGCAAGATCAAAATATTTTAGAAGGAAACTTTAGATATTAGCAGGGAACATGAAAAATCAGCTATGCTGTAACCGGGAGTGGAGCCACGAATTTTTATTATTTTGTTTGGGGGGGGGCAGAGGTGAGGAGATTGATAAATGAATTTGCATGGTCCATAAAACTACTACTTTCATATCCAAAATCTATTATCCGAGATTATAGCGCGACTTTCCTTATTCTCGTATAGGGAGTGTTCTCTGAACAATTAAAAAACTAATATTAGTTTATTTTTGACATTAAATCCTGCTTATCATGTAAATGCAACAAATTTAAAATTCATCTGACAATATCTGGTACTGTTGCAGCAACAGGAAAAAAAATCTGATGTGTATACACCACATGACTTTTCTTGTATGGAATATTAAATTATACGCATTTTTCCACATTTCATTTAAACTTATTTCCTTGAATTTCATTACAAATATATTTCTCATTCAATTAATTCAGTTTTCAATTCCCGACAAGGCAAATATACATAAAACCTCGAAATATCTTTATTAAAAACTGAAAAATGTAGAAAAATATAAAACACCAAAACAAATAAAACATTTAAACATTTTGTATAAATTAGATTAAGCGTTTCTACGCAAAAAAAGCAATTTGGCCAACGGGCAAAAAGGCAGATTTTTCGGTGCAAAAAACTTAAAGTTTACTTTTGGTCCCACACGGTAAAAAAACGCTGAAAGTTTACGCTGAAATTTTTTTTTTTTTTAAGTAAGAAAATTGCAAAACACATTCTCATATTTTTCAATCATATTATTAAAACTGGTAAGCTTTCGATATGGAAATCAATGCATTTTTCCTCTAATTTCGATATGAATGTTTTTTCTTCTTTCTATAGTTTGCAGAATTCCTATTTAGCGTTTAACTACACTGTGCACTTTTCCAATGGCTAGACACATTAATAACTAAAGACTAAAAAAAATCATATATCTTTAATGTACGAAATTATGCAGAAGTTTATTCATTTTATTTTTATTGAAGTTATTGAGTTTTGCTGGAAATATTTTCACATTAAATATATTTAAAACTGCTACAAGAAAAGCTACAAGAAAGTCCATGATCACTATGTACAAAGATTTTGATGTAATAGTGTTTCAAAGTGTGAATAAGTTACGGCTATTTTCTGAGACACTTACAAAGAGTCACTTACGAGTAAAGGTTGCTATAGAAAACTATTGAAAAAATTCAAATTTAAAAAAAGGCTTTTCTTTGTTTATTGTATATGTAATATACTATATACGTTTTACTATTACTACATGTGATCCGAAAAATACGTAGTTATAACACATGCAATGACTTCATGTTAACGGCATATATCAACTGATGATTGTATCTATATATACAAAGAAGAATGCCTGTGTATTTGTCCACGATTAACTCAGTCACTACTATAGCTATCGCCACTATAGTATCAAACTTTCTACAATTCTTTTCTGGTTCTGGGAAAGGTCGACGTCCACGTTTTTCCAAAAAATGTAGCTAAAATCAGAGATATTAATTAACTCTGAAAACGCTAATTTTCGCCCTCATTTTTCCGAGTGGCAACAGTTTCGCAAGCTAGAGATAAAAATCTGTCAGAAAAAGAAGTATTGCCACTTCTTTCTTTCAAATAATAGGGTTTGTTAATAAAAAAATTCTATTAGTTTTACAAGAAATAAAAATGGTATTGCCAAACATTAAATACATTATTCCCGATTACAAATGTTCGTGGGAAGCCATTTCGACTATTCTCAACTTCATTAGAATTTAATCAGCCGAGATATTAATTAAATACTCTAAAAACACTAATTTTCGCACTCATTTTTCCGATTGGCAACAGTCTCGCGAGTTGGAGATAAAAATGCTTTATTTCGAAAAGTCTTGCTACTGCTCGCTTTCAAATCGCAGAGTTTGTTAACCAAAAATTTGTAAGTTTTACAAAATATATATATATATCTGTTTGTGTGTTTGTTGGCAACATTTAATCGACTAAAATTGAATTAGATGAAATATTGGATGGAACTTGAGCTTTTAGGACCATTTGATTAGAAAGACGAAAATCATTAAAAACTGCATTTCATTGTTGCACATATAATGGGAGAGAATTAGTCTATTTTGCTATCGAAATTTTTATGTGGGTTCCATATCGCATCAGACTGAAAAATGTATGACTATGAATCGTATTTTTCTATCGATATTAGAGAAGGATTACAGCGTTATCATTCTCTTTGTTGTTGGATACATTACTCTCAATGTAACTTAACTGGCATCTTAACCGCCAGTTTAAAATATAGATAATATTTTGCTAATGTCCAAAAATGGGATTTTTTAATGTTGCTTTGCTTGACGTACATTTCATATAGAACAAGTTTT